TCCCTGCACGTAGCATTTATGATTATTATTACTTCCTACAAATTACATAATCAAAACCACATAAATTGTTGCGTGCTACATATTTTGACCCTTAGAATTAAGGCAATCTGAGCCACTAGATTTATTCTATCAGAAATGAACAAAACTTCTCCAAATTATAGGTTGAACATACTCAAACCTCAAGCTTCAGCCATTTTCCTCTACTTGTTTCATATTTTAAATAAGAAATGATCCAGATTTATTGAACAGGTCCTTCAAAAGATAAACGTAGGAATTAGCTCATTTGTCAATATCAGCACACACACACACACACACACATAAATAAATAAAGTTCTGGCTCCACTGTTAACTGATGGAGCAAAACAAAGCTTGTGCAATTTATAAATAGACATTATTTAAAAATTAATACTCTACTAGATAAGAAAGCTAATGGTATTTGAATTAATGTCTCTTACAGCTAATACATTAAAATACAGTATAGCAAAGAGAAGTTCCTGAATAAGAAAATTGATTTGCAGTTTTATCCATTAATAACTTTCTGCTTTGCTTATAGTACCAGGAGCCTTTGCAACCTCTAGGTAATACATCTCTGTAAACCTCAAGACACCATTCCTACTTCAACATGCCACCCTTTGAAGCAAAGAAATTGCTGTAATGGGGGAAAAACATTCATTTTAAGTGTGAACAGTATTTCATACTGATAGGCCATAAAAAGTGATATTAACATTTATGTCTTCAAACATGATCCTTGGTCTGAAATAAAAAATAATTCCATGGAAGAATTACATCTATAAAACGTATTTGTTCTACTCATACACATAGCGTAATTAAAGAATTAACTGTTCAGAACCAGCATTGAGAAATATTCTATTCAAACTTTCCTCTAGTACTGCACAATATCTTTACACCAGTTTGAAAATAGATCTAGTCCTCCCTGATTGCACAACACAGATTATTTTTGAGAGCTGGGTCAAATCTTTACAACTCTGCTGCAATTGTTTGCAAATGGAGTGAAGATGTTATATCTTCTTTGAACCATTATAGCTTTGAAGAGCTTGTGGGCAGGGTTTTTTTTTGTGCCATTTATATGGCCACCTACTTGCTCACAGCGACTCTAGGCAGCTTATAGAAAATAAAAGCTCAATGTAGAAGGAATAAAAAATAATAAAATAATAAAGTCCCCCCGGCTACAACACACACTCATATCAATCATTTAATGGGCTCCATCCCACTTTGGGTTCCCTGGGCCTGTTAGCATAACCACATCTTCAGGGCCTTCTGAAGGAGTGTCAGAGCGGGGCCCAGTCTAATTTCTGGAGGGATGATGTTCCAGAGGGAAGGAGCCACCACGGAGAAGGCCCTTCTTCTGGGTCCTGCCAGTTGTACCTCCCTAGAGGACGGGACCTATAACATTCTTGGTGGGACTCTTGTCTCAGGCTGCCTTTCTAGGCTGAATCCAGAGGACAGCAACCATGGTTGTAAAAAGTCTGGAAGGAAAGCTTAGGGGGAATGATTGGGTGTATGGCATACATTTAGTCTGAAGAAGGGAAGAAACTAGGGAGATGTAATAACTGTCTTCAAGTACCCTGTTTCCCTGAAAGTAAGGCCTACTCCGAAAATAAGCCCTAGCTTGATTTTTGGGGGTGGGCCTAATATAAGCCCTACCTCAAAAATAAGCCCTAGTTTTGGAATGCGGCACACACCTAAAAATCAAGCTAGGGTGGGGATGGGCATGTGGAGCTGTCCCACATCCCCACACCCACTCACCTTGCAGCCAGGCCTCTCTTCGCTATCCCACTTCTTCTGTGGCATCTTCTGCAGCTAGGCCTGCATTTCTCAGTCACAGGCCTTTCCAGAAGGCCACTGCAGCCGAGAACCGCTGCATAGGCCTTGCAGAAAAGCCTGACTGCAAAATGCAGGCTGGAATGCAGCTGCAGAATGAAGCTGCTCCTTTGGTCAGAAGTGGGCCAGCTGGCCAGAGTTGAGTATAAAAGACACTCCCTGAAAATAAGACCTGATGCCTCTTTTGGAGGGAAAAAAGAAAAAAAAAGACCCGGTCTTATTTTTGGGGAAACACGGGTATATATAGGGCTGCCATGTTTAAAAAAATGGAGTGGAATTACAGATGAAACAAGGAATTTAATAACAAGCAAGTAGGTATGGCTGAATTATCAGAAAATGTCTCTAAGTAAGAGTTGTTCAATTCTGGAAGAGGCTACGTTAGGAAATGATGGGCTCTCAGGTGCAAGTAACCAGATTCACATATGAAGGATTTAAGTTGACTCTACCTGTGAAGGATTCAAGCTGACTACTTTATTGTCTTCTATCTATAATACAAGAATATCTCCAGATTGCTTGCCTTCCCTTGGGAACAAATAAATAAGGTCCCATGGAACTTGGGGGCAGGGAGAGGCTTATGCTTCTTGCAGCTGTGTAAGGACCCAAGGCTAGTTCCTTGCTTTAGGAGGAAGCTAAAACAGGATTGAATAAGCAGAAGCACAGACCTATTTTATTGATCCTATTTAAATAAGTAACTAGACTTAAGTAGGAAATGCATGCTTTATCAATCCAGTGGCTCTCGGCTAGCATCAAATCTTCAGGGTTATCCTGATCTTTGGTCTTGCTAATGCAGAGCACAAAGACATGACACTTCTTGTGGTACTATATTATCTTGTGACAGAATGATACATTCTGATATTCAAGCTATTCAAAAGCAGATTCTAAGGATACTATGCTTGGTTTATTATCACCCGAGAGAATCGCAAGAACTTTTCTTTCAGAAAGAAAAGGGGGCCTGTTTATCCTATGTCCCTGATATTGCAATGTATTTCTTTTTGGATTTACATACAAAGTTAAATCATTACAAACTCTCACCAACCTTACAGGAAATAATTCTGCTTCATTCCTTTAGTCAAAAGGCCCTTTCAAATACAGGTAGTCCTCAACTTATTTATTTATTTATTTATTTTATTTATTTATTACATTTATACCCCGCCCTTCTCCTAGTGGACTCAGGGCGGCTTACAGCCAATTTAAAACAAGACAATCAATACAATATAAAATTTAAAATATAATTAAAACGAAATATTAGTATGGGCCTTATCTA